CTCTCTCTCTCTCTCTCTCTCTCTCTCTCTCTCTCTCTCTCTCTCTCTCTCTCTCTCTCTCTCTCTCTCTCTCTCTCTCTCTCTCTCTCGTGTGTGTATTTTTTATGTTCTTGACTTTTGGCATCATTGCTTACCTTGATATGGATCATTTTTTTTTCCTGGATTTTGAGAGGTATAGCGAATCATGGAAAATCATCATTTGCAACTGCGGTTGTTGTAGGCATCTTCACTTCTGTACCTGATCATTTTCTTTTGGAATTTTCCTTATTTGTTGAAATTAGTGTCTTATATTTTGGACTACTTGCATGTCATTTAATTTTTAGTGCTTTTGTTTTCATTTTGATAATTGTTACCCATCTTTTAATTATATGATTTTATGCTTTTTATTTCCATATTTTATTGATTGATTTTGTGATGGCTCTGCTTTCCATCTCTTAGTGATGGTTCTTGTGGTCCTTTGGACTCACAGTGCTTTATTTAGTTCTCTGCATTATCTTTTCTTCACTTTGTGGCAGTTTTTAATACTCTCTCTCTTGGTGATGATGGTGCATATGTTCCTTTTTGTCCAGTCATTCTTTGATGGTGGCATTGCCTTTCTGGTGATGACGCTGTGAGATTATGGGGCATGCGTTACTCACTTGTCTGGTTTTTCTGTTCCATTTTTTTAAACGAGCTCATTCTTTTACAGCTCTTTTATGAATTTGGTTACTATTAATATGTATTTATCGTTTCACTTGTTTCTTGAAGCTCATTAGTTTCTTGATGTTGATGACCGGTTGCATAATCACGATAACTATTGGTCTTTACAACTTCCTGTTCTTTATCTTCTTATCAGTTTCTAATAATATCTTTTGAATGGTCAAAATCTAGATTAGGATCCTGATGTTGGCTATTAACTATCGCATATTTCCCTCGCAGTTATGGTGGCCTTTTTTAGAACTTGTGGGTGGTGATTATTGTTCTAGCTGTCTTTTGATACTTTTTGTATTTGTCATTTTTATATTTATTTGTACTGTTATTTCTTTTTCTTCAGTACTTGCAGTGAGAGATTATACCAAGTGATTATTATCTTTATACAGTCTGTCTTTTGGTGGTTTCTGTTTGAATATTTTCTTTTTCTTAAGATGGCTTTTATAGTAGGGCGTTCCTTTACAGGAGGAAATTTATATTAGAAAAAGGTGGGTGCACCTTCTCTAAAAGAAGACAAGATGTATTTTAAAAGACATTTCTCATGAATGGAGTCTTATAAGTCTCTGAAATGTTTAGATTTACAGTTTGAAATATTTGATTTTTTTACTAGTTTTCAAAATGCAAGGCATGCCAAGCAATTTTCTGGACCACTTTGTTGCTAGTCTTTTTTGTTTTGGTTTCCATTTTACGCTTTTGCTAGTTTAAAAGGAAACTTTTCATTATATTCGATTGCACGGTTAGTCTATTTTTTAATTTAGAAATGTGATTTTTTCTGTAGTCATAACTGGATATGATCCTTATTGGATAATCCTTTAACTTGATAGAGAGTTAGGTCAGCATCTGTAATGGCTTGGCTAACTAGCATAAAAACACCTGCAACACATTCTCTGAGTCATGCACAGTCGTCAGTCACTTGTGTGATCCATATTACCATTTTGTAAGGTTGTACTAAATGATTTTTCTAGATGCTATCGAGCTAGATTTCTATTGCTACTTAGCAGTCGCTGTTTCTTGCATTCATTTATCTGCATGTTTCAACAATTGGGTTCTGTTTTCCCTGTTTCTTGCATTCATGCCTATTACATAAGGAATGTTAAGGTTTATTTGTATCAGAGGATTTAATAGGTGAGAATATTCTTATTCTCAGGGTTTGTAAAGGAAAGAGGAGGAACAATATGCGAAGATATAATAACGAGAGCCTTTATGGCCACTGATGACGGTTATTTTACACATGCGCGAAATACACGGGATGCAAATCCAACGATTTCAGCAAATGGATCATGTTGTCTGGTTGGAATATTCTGGGATGGGATGTTATATGTTGCTAATGCCGGGGATTCAAGAGCAATTGTTGCGTTTTCAAGCGGACCAAACAAATTCATCACGGAGCAATTGACTCAGGAGCATAATGCAAAATATGAGGACATAAGGAGAGAGATGTTCCAACTCCATCCTGATGATAGCCAAATTGTTATTTATAAGAATGGGGCATGGCGAGTCAAAGGAATTGCTCAGGTAAGTTTTAACGTTATGCTTATGGTAATAGTTTACTCATTCATATAGTTACATCGTTCTTACTTTGTTTTATATAAATCCAATGTAATTGCTTTTGTTTATTTTTCCAGTACCGAACTAATGATCCTTCATTATGTGTGAAATCAAAGTTACCTTCAGAGTGCTTGTACTATGTTGTTAATAGCCTATAACAGCATCCAAGTAACTTCATGTAGACTATTACTTAATAGAAAGAGCTTTATGTTAAGAAAGTATTGGAGCTGTTATCAGTTCCTCTTGAGTTATACTTATTAGCGATGAGAAACTCAATAATTTTTTAAAGTTTGATACAAAACCCATTGCAGGCCCTGCATTGCATTGGTTGGTGACAATCTTGGGATGATCTGACTTAATGTTAAACAGTGGTGCTCAATTCTTGCTATGGCTTATCACTTTGATTCTTTGGGCTAATTGATAGGGGCCATTTTTGCACTCCTTGTGGTAGTTTACTGATTTTTATGGTATCAAATTTATTCATCTCTTGTACTTTTGTAGTATTAGAAACTGCCCAATCCTAGAAGGTTATGAGGCAATGTACTACTTTCCAGGGGCTGATAATTCCAGTTTTTCCTTCTTGGGGTTCTCATCTTGATGGAGTTCCATAAACACACCATTGGCATTATAACTTGCCCCATCCTTCAACCTCTAGAACCAGGCCTTGACAACAAGGTAGTTAATATACTTGTCTACCATGGAAATATAACTAGATTGTCTTCTCACAGTTGACTCCAGGATGATTGGATACAAGTGCTTAATTTCTGAAATTTTGTTTTTTCTGTTCTTGTTATGGATATGAGCAGTTTTAAGAACAACTCTCTCTCTCTCTCTCTCTCTCTCTCTCTCTCTCTCTCTCTCTCTCTCTCTCTCTCTCTCTCTACTCTCTCTCTCTCTCTCTCTCTCTCT